TGCTGTGCGATTCTCTTCAGCCTTTTGTGCTGCTTTTGTTTTCAACCCGTTTGTGGTGTTGATCAATATTCTCTTCTAGTTTTTACTTGTAAGAGCCTCTAGTGCTTGATATGCATTTTCTCCTCCTACCACTGGCGGCTATTTCTCGGCACCTTCCCTTCACCACCATCTTCAGCACCTCGACCACACGAGGGTCTCCTCTATTTGGTGTCTCTTATGCAGTTGGGGTTGCTTTTAAAGTGCTTATGTCACTTATTGCTTGGATTATGGTAGCGCTCTTTGTAGCTTTGGTGGCTTGTCCACCACCATTTTCTGTCTCGAGCATTGGTTACTGGTTCCTCTCCGGTCGGTGTGGGCTTGTGTTGATTATGCTGCTGTTTGGCTTTGGGTGGTGTGGCATTTCCCCGTTCTGTATTCACTGCCTTTTGTGTGCACTTTGCTTTTCTGGGCTTTATGTCCTCTTCAAGTTTTATGATGTAGTAGGTTTTATGCCTTCTTGTGTTGCAATTTGTCAAATTCCTTTGAGGAGCTCACTTTGTAGTAACCGGCTTTTGCCTTTTATCTAATAAAATTTGATTCCAACCAAAAAAAAAAGAAGCTCAACTTATGCGTCAACAAGTTGACCAAAAAAAACAGCAAATATGTTGATTACCAAAATTATGACAAGCTTAAAACTCAAATCCAGGATGTGGGCCCACTATTGTCTCATATTCTAACATTTAGTCTCACATGTGGGTCTCTCTCTCTCTCTCCATCACTAGGGAACCAAACATGATGTGTAATTTCCACCAACGCAAAAGCAACGGATACATGCGTATCCTTGTCATGGGATATTCTCCCTACATGCGTATAAACCAATACACACAAGGATATTGAAATATAAGTTGAAGTGAAATTGTCTTTATTCTTCTTCTGCAGAGGCTTGCTGGTTTTTGGCAGATGAGTCATGCCTGGAAAATATGGAAATGGGTGACAATCAATCCATTGTAATTCATTATTTTTGAAAACAAAGACGCAGAATATGTAAATAGCGACTTACTGAATTTTACATGACAGTTGAAACAGGGCAGTTAGAGACATCCCAAGATTGACACTGACAAGATTCCAGTTCTTCTGCAATCTCAAAATGGACAAGCTATAATAACTGAAGAATCTATCTCAAACTTATACAACAAATTTCTTGGACAAAAAGAAACTTCTTCAACTGCAAATTGTTGGCTCTAATTGATAATTTGAGGTTTAGAATCAATTACTGGTTTAATTAATGTCCCTTAAAGAATTATTAATTTAAATTCAATATTAAATTTAGAAATTAATGTTGTTTTCTTTTTATGAATTATACGATCAGTATTCTTTTTTATTATAGTTTTATGAATAATAGTGTACATTCGAAAAATAATTTAATTTAGAATTATAATATATATCATTCAATGCATTCTTTTTTTATTTGATTTAATAGGTATAATTGGAAAATTATACAAACTTTATTTTCCATTCTACTCAAAACAAACATTGGAGAGGAAATAAAGTGATATCTCCCGGTTACTTTCCCAACATTACCAAACATAGGAAAGGAATCTTCATTTCCCATTCCTTGGGAAATGACACAGGAAATGATTTCCTCTCAAATTCATTATGTGAATCAATTGTACACTAGCAATCTCGTTGATTCATTATTGCTCAACTACAAACATGGGGCCAATTGGTCATTGTCCTTGCAGCTGTTAACAAATCAAGTCCAATGTCTCAATTCCGTCAATTTCAATAATTAAAAATTATTTAATATTAAGTTAAAAATAATTAACTTTAATATAAAATTTAAGTATAATATATTTAAAAAGAAAATTAATAAAATTAATACTTAAATTAATAATAAATAAATGTGGC